GATTGTCTGTGCACCGCTGTATTGCTCTCCCAGCAGATATCAGGGTGATTGAAGTCTCCCATGAGAACCAGGGCCTGTGATCTAGTAACTTCTGTTAGTTGCCGGAAGAAAGCCTCGTTCACCTCATCGCCCTGGTCTGGTAGTCTATAGCAGACTCCCACCACGACATCACCCTTGTTGCTCACACTTCTAAACTTAATCCAGAGACTCTCAGGTTTTTCTGCAGTTTCATACTGGAGCTCTGAGCAGTTATACTGCTCTCTTACATACAATGCAACTCCCCCACCTTTTCTGCCCTGCCTGTCCTTCCTGAACAGTTTATTTCCATCCATGACAGTACTCCAGTCATGTGAGTTATCCCACGAAGTCTCTGTTATTCCAATCACATCATAATTCCTCAGATAGTTGTGTTTGGCATTTTGACTTGTTTATATTCATTGTGGAAAAAAGTGACACTGCCTCCATGGCTGACTCTGCCCAGCAACTAGTGATGGTATCTCTGTCTCTCTCCCCCAGCCAATGGGGGCTACGGGGGGTGGCGCACGTAGCAGATATTGCCGGCAGTGTGGCTGCATGCGTCTCTCCTCCACGGGCTGCAGTGGGGAGGTTCTCGGGCCACAGATGGCCCGCAGGCCGGGACATTGAGACCCCTGCTTTAGAGCCTACAAGTCCACTCAGTCCTACTGCTTGTTCAGCCAATCGCTAAGACAAACAAGTTTGTTTACATTTACGAGAGATAATGCTGCTCACTTCTTATTTACAATGTCACCAGAAAGTGAGAACAGGCGTTTGCATGGGACTTTTGTAGCCAGTATTGCAAGGTATCTACGTGCGAGATACAAATGTTTAGTGTATGCCCCTTCATGCTTCAGCCATCATTCCAGAGGACATGCTGATGACGCTCGTTAAAAAAATAATGCATTAATTAAATTTGTGACTGAACTCCTTGAGGGAGAATTGTATGTCTCTGGCTCTATTTTACCCGCATTCTGCCATATATTTCATGTTATAGCAGTCTCGGATGAGGACTCAGCACATGTTCATTTTAAGAATACTTTCACTGCAGATGTGAGATTTCTCAAGATAGTTACAGCACTCGACCCAAGTGCCTTCCAAAATCTGAGAAGGACAAGGTGTGGTGCATGCTTTCAGAAGTCATAAAAGAGCAACACTCTGATGCGGAAACTACAGAACCTGAACCACCTTCTGTTGGTGGAATTAGACTCACATGATGAAAATGAACATGCGTCAGTCCACACTACTTTGGATTGTTATCAAGCAGAACCTGTCACCAGCATGGACGCATGTCCTCTAGAATGGTGGTTGAAGCATGAAGGGCATATGAATCTTTAGCACATCTGGCATGTAAATATCTTGCGACGGCAGCTACAACAGTGCCATGCAAATGCCTGTTCTCACTTTCAGGTGACATTGTAAACAAGAAGCAGGCAGCATTATCTCCTGCAAATGTAAACAAACTTGTTTGTCTCAGCAATTGGCTGAACAAGAAAGAGGACTGAGTGGACTTGTAGGCTCTGAAGTTTTACATTGTTTTATTTTTGAATGCAGTTATTTTTTGTACATAATTCTACATTTGTAAGTTCAACTTTCAGGATAAAAAGATTGCACTACACTACTTGTATTAGGTGAATTGAAAAATACTATTTCTTTTATCATTTTTACAGTGCAAATATTTATAATAAAAAATAAATATAAAGTGGGCACTGTAAACTTTGTATTCTGTGTTATAACTGAAATCAATATTTGAAAAAGTGGAAAACATCCAAAAATATTTAAGTAAATAATATTCTATTTGCATTTAACAGTGCGATTAATCGTGATTAATTTTTTTAATCACTTGACAGCCCTACTGATTAGTTGTGAAATGCAATGTAGTAGCACAGAGTTTTTTTTAAGTGCGTCTAAAACCAGTCTGCCTTGTTCTTCATAAAATGCAGAAAATAATGGACCTCGTGTCACAACATTAATACTTTAAATAAGGTTTATAAGCTTTCTAAAGGGATCAGGAAACCCAGGAACTGTTTTTACCAAGCAATTGGTCTACAGGGTTAACTCCTTGAATTTCTAAATTTGATCTCTTTCCTTTGTTCATGTTGTAATAGCAAATAAACTAACCTCCATTTCTGATAGCACCGATTCCCCTATAGAAGTCTTCAAAGCTGATTACTCCAAGTCCACTGGGGTCTAGATATTTTGTTAGGTCCTTCACCTGCAATTACAAAACCAGCATTATAAATTTCACGGCAAAGCATTTCAAACACAGTATACTTCACTTATTTGGGAAGACTGAGACAATCCAACAAAACACCATCTGATTACAAAGACAGCAGATTCAGCCTAATGATAGAAAATGGCAAGCAGTGCTCCTTAATTGAGACAGTATTAACAAAAAATCCATTTAATGGGGACGCAAGCAGACAATGCCAAGGGGTTAACTGGTATTTAATGAATCATTAAATGGGAGTGAAATTCTAAGTGCCAGTCTTAATACTGAAGCTGACTGACTAGGAGATACAAAGAGGAAATATAGTGAATACGAGTCAGTACAATATTTTTGTTTCAACTTAATTTTTTTCAATCAGCACTTTAAAAAAAGAAAGCTTCTCTTAATTGGGACAGGTGCTTAATTCGGACAATGGGATGTCCACCAGGGGGTCCCAATTAAGAGGATTCAACAATAATGAACTAATCTGTGCTATGTATTTAGACATAATTGGAAAACCTTTCATGATTAGGCAATGTTTAAAGGGGGCAGGGAGTAGAAAAAAAAAATCACATCATCAGCTTGCAAGGATTAGGAGGCTGCTAGTGAACAGGAGACAAGGAGTAATAAGACATTTCTGGCAAACTGGCAATGATTATTTTGGCATTTCAAATAGCATAGTTACAATTAGAGGACAAAACTAAAGTCATTCCTCAGCAGTCCAAACAAAGACTTCAAAAAAGGTGCATCTAATTCCCTCAATGGCTGCTACTGAGCCTTTGTTTCAGACAAACAATTATAGAATAGTTCATTCTTAGGATGTTGAAACAATTAACCACTTTTTCCTAGGCTGCTATTTTAGAAAGTTACCCTTTCAAGTGACATTGAGGCATCTTTATATATCTTAAAGCCATATACTCTAGTTCTAAAACAAAAAAGAAAGCCCAGACACTGAATAAAGGCACAAATGGAATTATAGAATTTGTTTCATACTGCTGTACTAAAAAGACTGTCACAGAACTTTCCCAATTCACATTCTCCTTTCCCTCTCCAATTTTACCATTTATAGGAAGCTTGGAGGTAGTTTCCTTATTGACTCTTCCACCAGGCCAAATCCGTTATGAACACAAACTAATTTCTGATTCCAGTTGCTTGGAGTTGCATGTTGCTGGAGCTTGGATTATTTCTCTATTTTTGCTTGTACTTGGCAAAAAAGGTGATGAGACACAGCATTTATTTTGAGAAAAACCTTGCACCTAAAAAGAATCTGAGAACAAGCAAGAACAGGAAAAGCAGGAGTTTGGTGTTTACCAAGCTTTGCAGTGTCCCTTTGAGTTGTCAATGTGTCATGAATGTCTCATCATTGTACACCGGTCTGTAGTTATATATCAAAAAGCCACCCACACATGCACTTTAGTGACATTTAATCGAACTTTCCATGGTTCCCTGACATTCTCATGCATGATTTCTAACATTTCCAAGAGGGAAAAAATACATCATTGCTTCAGAAAGACTCCACCTACCAAAAACAATTGCTAACATACTATTAATGCACAGGAAGTGACAAGCAATAAACCACAAACATTTTAAGGTGTAGGTCTCCTCCGAGTAATAACTTGTGAAACTAAAAACAGTGTGATGTATTATAGGTTTGGTTACTCTTATGAATTTTCTGTGTTGGAACACTTTTGCTTTTAAAAGAACTAAGAGCATGCTAGCCAGCAAATTGCTCAGAGAACATAATTACAGGAAGATTTACCTTACCCTTAAAAAAAAAAAAAAAAAAAGAGAAAGAAAAATGTACAATATTGAAAGAAACAAAAAAAGTTAAGATATTGCATTTTGACACAACTTGTGCAGATTTAAGGATCAAATCCCCATATGCGAGACTGAAAAATGTACACTAATTTAAGAATAAATTAATGCCCATTTTCTTCATTTCAAGCTTATCTTGTTTAGAGAAAACGAAACAAACTGGCAAATAATGGAGTTTTCATTGCAGCAACTCACTTTACAGTCTAAAATCCTGTTTCCAACATAACTCCGGACAGTCCTTTAGGGCTGAAGCATCCCTCTCCAAAAATTCATCTTGGGTCTAAGACAACCCAGGGCCAGATCCTCAGCTAGTGTATATTGGCAGAGATCCACTGAAATCAATGGAACGAATGCTGATTTACATCAACTGAAGCGTTTCACCAAGCATGGAAATGAAGTAAAAACCAATTCTGTCATCTTGCGGGGTTGGGGTATTGTTTGGTTTTATTTTAAGTAAGTGGAGGTGGAAAGCTGAAACCAAACCAAACCACACCACACCACTTTTCCTGTTTTTCAAAAAAAAGTATTTGTTATTTGTTGGTACACAAGTAAACCGCTGAACTCACATTTCAGACTTCGATTTTAATCGGAGTCAAATTTCCTGTCAGACTGAAAAAGGTATTTTAAAATAAAATATGCACATGAGAATGTGTATCAGTGCACATAATCTCAAGTAAGTAACTGTTCCACCGTGAGCTATAAGGAACTGCAACTATGGCTGGCTTGGCATAGCACAACAGGGCTGCAATCTAGATTGAGGCCTGTGGGCACTATGCAATATAAAATTATAATTAACATTCAACACAAAGTCTTCACAAGGGTTTAACTGCATGGTTACTGGCACCACTACCAAGCCGATTAACCCACCAGTGCCCAACCCCACAGTGGCACACCCAGCAGATAATCCCCCTCTGCACACAGGCACAGACAGACCTGCTCCTTGGAAATGCACACCACCAATCCACTGCCATATCACACCAATACTCACAGGGCCAAATTTCCCAGTCTACACAGTTCACCTTGTGCTGCTCATGCTGCACAAACTGAACTTAAGACAGCCAGAATGGCAGCTACAGAATTCCCTTTGTTTTAGGGGAATCTCCACAGGCATGAAGTCGGTAGAGGCAGCTCCATCATCTCGTAGGCGTGAAAAATAAGCCTCCCACAACACCCAGTTCTCCACTGGCATCAGATTGCTGAGGATCCTTCCATGTTAAGTTAACACTGCGGGGGGGGGGGGGGGGGGGGG